GCTATCAGATTTAATTCTAACAGATTCTCTTTCTGCTTAAGCTGAGTGAGTTTCTGCTGTTTGCAACCAGAAACTTTGACTGGTAGAGTTTTCAATAAATATTTGTTGAATGAATGGGAGGGTGGGAGCCCTTTCTCCTCAGTCAACAATATCAGACTGCAGTCAGGATGCCTGGCCTCGCCCTCTTGTTAAATATTGGACATGCTTTGATATTTTTGCAAGGGAAGAACTATCCATACAGATCTGTCCTTCTCACTAGGGGACAGACATCACCTTTCAGTATACCTCTCTGCTCTTTGAGTCCCAGGACTAATCATCCTCAGACAGAATGAAACTGAGCAAAGGCCCCAGGACTAAGGCTGAAGATGAAGTTTTCCTGGAGACACTTTAGACCCTCCAGACTAAGACAGCAGAGTTGCCAGCTCTGGGGCTTTTGTGGTGGGGACAGCTCCAGTGAGCAGGGTTAGAAGGCGTAGGGGAGAACAGGCTAAGGCACCGGCAGGGGTCGTGGCAGGCATATGCAGCTAGCCCTGAGGCAGACCAGGCGGAAGGTGAGAAGCCCAGCCTCACCCTATTTGTTAGCAGGTTCTGCAGCCTGGCAGGCCAGAACTCAAGACCCAGGAAGCGGCTGGCAGAGACAGGCAGACCTCAGACCAAATGAGGTCTGACATGGCCTCCGGCCGGCCGTGGGCCAGCCAGGTGTTCTGCCAGCTGAGTAAGTGACAGATTAAAAGTACATGCCAGGCAGGAAATGCCAACATTTCATATGCTCCAGATACAACTCCACAAGAACTTTTTGCTTTGACCTGGAAAACCTGGTCAAGGTAGAGACCACCAGCTAGCTGCCTTAGAAGTGACAAGGAACTTGCCCTGAGCTATACATACTTTTCATAAAAAGCAGGGGGAAAAAAACACTATTCCCCACCATCAAGTTGTTGTGAAGATCGAAGAAGATGAATACCACCCAAGACCCAGTTCAGAGCCTGGCATGCGGTTGTAAACTCCATTCTCTCCCCTCTCCCACGCCCCCTCTTTTGGGATCTACGCCGATGGCTGTCATGAAGATTGATCTGTCTTGTTTATACAAGGACAGGTTACAGCCACCTTGAAATCCACTTTTCCCAAATAAGGTGGGTGTCTTCAAGGCTGAATAGCATCAAAGAAATCATTCTGAATTTATATATCTAGGCCTTTATTTGCCTTTTTGTTTGACAATTATTTGAGTGCTTACTCTAGGCAAGGCGCTGTGCTAGATGCTTTAGGAGATGATAAAAATAAGCCAGACCTCGAGCTTGTCCTCGTGGGGGTCTAAGGTTGGACTAGGAAGATGAGGTGGGAGAGCAAGGGCAACCATGACACAGTGCGTCGAGGGAGGCTGCATGAGGAAGGGAATCGAGAGTTTCAAGGAGGAAGTAAAACCTGCTCAGGAACTTGAACGCTGAGTAGAGACATGCGCAGGTGGCAGGGAGAGTCTTCTAGGCAGACAGGAAGAGCCGGAGAAAAGACCCAGATGTGAGAAAGCAGGGGGAGTGTGTGCCTTGTCCTCTCGCAGCCTCTGTTCAATTCTGCTAAAGCAAAGGAGGTGACGTGCAAAAGACAGGAAACGAGGCTGCGTGGCAGCAATGCACAGACCACGGGGTCGCGAGGGCTAGAGGATTCCCGTTCCTAGAGGATGGGAAGTCAATCCAGAACTTGCCAAGGTTGCCTGTCCCGTTTTCAAGCTGTGGAGGGTGACTGGGCTGCAGGAAGGCCGAAAATTGCAGATGGCCTCCTAAATAGTTCCACACCAGACTCGGCAACCTACACCTTGCTTATGTTTCTGAATGAAATAATGCCCTCTGGTGTTTTCTAGTTTTATAATTCTGAGAGGCAATGAAATAAAACAAAAAAACTGCCAGTATCAAAGAGCTGATAAGCCGAAGCGCTCCACAGAAGTTTAAATAGGCTTTAAAATAGATAAAACTTTAATTAATTCGAAGGACTTTTAGATCCACTTTCTCTTGCACTTTATTTTTCTAGTTTGGAAGATCTGTCCCTCAGCCTGAACTACTCTCTGGCCAAAGGACCGTCTGAGGGCCTTAGGTTTTAGGCATGAGAATGTCTGGCTGCCTAACACCACTCCCCACGCCTGGCCAGGAACAAGCTTTCAACAGCAACCCTCTGTCCTTGGTATCTGGTCACTCACAGTGAGTGTGGCAGTGGCTGTGGGTGGGACTCCCAGTACCCTCTAAGAGAATAATATTAGAAAGTCTAATGGGCACGGCCCCCCAAAAGAGTTTATTTCTAAGATCCTTTGAATTTAAGAAATACTGACTGAAGTGAAAGCCAGGCTTAAACTCCACCTCTCAGTGGTCTTGTGCAGAAGGAAGAGGTGACTAGCTTTGGACAAGGAAAGAAGGGGGCAGGCTGGGTGGGAGCCGGGTGTAAAATGCTGCATGTTTGGTGCCCACCCCTAAGTGGGACAGAACCTCTACACATGATCCTAGTCAAAAGGAAGAGCTTTTATTTATCTCCTAGGATGGATACATTTAGAAGCTCCTTTCTGGGTGGGGCCAGCTACTAAGCCCTTTAAAACTTTTTCAGATCAGAATATAGATGTCGTTCGCCAGTGTCCTCGAGAGAGATGAAATCATGATCAAACAGGGAAGGAACAGCAAGAACAGCAGTCAGTGCTTCTAAAGCTGAAAAACAGGCTGGCGGAGGTGATGGCACTTACAAAGAGAGAAGAGGCCTGCAAAGATCAATCCCTGGTTTGCAGACTTCCCTGCTCAAAAGCTGCATCCCGAAGTGTGCTGGGAGCTGTGACACTTTAAACTGTCAGAAACCACCAGATCACTCAGGCTCTGTAGCAGGCAGTATACCGCTGGAGGAAATGGAGGGTCAGCTATTCTTATCCCTGACAATTCTACTTTGGGCTAAACCAGGGGACTGGCTTCTTCTCTTGAAGACAACCAGCTCACCTCAACTTCAGGTCACTGTCCTCTGAGGATCTGTCAGAAGAAACCCTCTTCTCAGATAGACGTGGGAGAGGGAAACTCACCAGGGTCCCAAGAGAGTCCGGGGACACGTGCACATTCCCTGCACTGGCTGAGGACGGGGGCGCTCACCTGGCTGTGGAGCCGCTGCAGCTCTTCTAGGCTTTGCCTCAGTTTTCCCCTCTCTCCCTCCATGAGTTCCCTTAGGGCTCTCGAATCCTCACTGGTCTGCCTTATCTGTTCTTCTAAGGAGTCATCGTCAATTCTCCGGGAGCTCTGACAGCAAGGAGAGCGAGCCAGACAACCAGGGAGATGTCGAGAATGGAGGGGAGCAGGGAGACGGTCAGCGGGAGAGATGGGGAGGAGAGGGGTGAGTTGGTGAGGGCAGACAAGAGCGATGGGGAGGGGAGCGGAGAGATGGTTCAGTTTGGGGGAGAGCGAGACAGCAGGAGATGGAGCAGAGAGTGGGAAGGAGAGAAAGAAAACAGAGACGAAGGAAGGAAGGAAGGAAGAAAGGGTTAGAGGAGAGAGATTCTCTTGCTCAATTTCAACCTGCAAACAATAGCTAGACATTCATTTTACTTTTGTTTCAGGCTTCAGAGAAGGGCAATTGAGTGGCGTGGACAGCACACCTCACTCCAACAGCTCCCTCCTCCCGCCATGACCCAGCCTCAACACTGTACCACATTCCACAAATCATCAGGGCATGGTCAGCTAAGGACAGCCACCTTTCATCTTACTTCATCTAATATGGGCAGAATGACACAACTATTCCTTAGGAGGATGAAAGCCATGGAGAAACAATAGCCTGAGAGCCAGGAGTGTGAACAGAAAGCAAGGCTGGCAGAAATCTGTCACGAAGCCAGAAGAAATGCCAGTCTGCCAGGAGGCCCCCTGGGGACATGCCTCTCCTCCACATCTGGAATTCCAAAAGGCCCTTGTGGTTGATCTTTTCAACTTTCTGTGCTCACTTATATCCTTTTAGCGGAAGCTTCAGATCTATCTTTTAAGCGTGCCTGCTCATAGCTAACCCCGCCGCTAGGACCAATGAGCTACAGAAAAGTAACTTACAGTTTTTACCTGGATCCAAATTTCTCTATTCAAAGCTTCTAAGAAAAGCCTTTTAATTAGAGGCCGCCATGGCCTGTATGTACTATATGTACTATATTTGTGAAGCTTTCCATTCCCTGGCACGTGGTCCCTCTGCTTGATCATCAGTATTCACCTGCTCTCAAGGGCTCAGGAGAAATTCTTGCAGATTTTATAAGGTTCCAGTTCAGGGTTGGCCTCGCTCTGTGTTTGGTTCCAACCTCCCACTAACCAGGCCCTGCAGGTTAGAAGCTTCTCAGCCTGGCCTCTTACCGTGGGCTCCATGCCATCCACAATGCTCTGTATCAGTCTCTTGAGCTCGTTGAGGGCAGTGCGCAAGCTGCCGGCTGGCACGTCCTTGGCAGATGAGGTTTCTGAAGACTCGTCCATTGAGGAGTCCGTGGAGACGGCCGAGTCAGCACTGTCGTTTCCTCGAAGGTGTGAGCAGAGATAGCGAACCTGGCAGTAGGCTTCCCAGAGCTGCAGTCTCAGCTGCCCAGCAAAGAATTATTCTTGATTATGGGCTCTAGCACATACTGCCACCTGGTCATCTTTTTCTCGTATATGAACCCAAGAACCCAAGATACTAGTTCTAGGAGAGTTTTTTTTTAATTACCTGTCTCAAGAAATACTGATACCTACTCTGGGTCCAGCACATCGATACAGACTCCCAATTCTTATTTTCCCTGCCCTCTAGCCCCTCCCATTTGCCAAATGAAGCACCTCTTTATATAGTCGGTTACTTTGGTGGGAGTCAGTGCACGACTAGGGGAATGACTGGTTACGAGTAGTATGAAAAGCCAGCTAACTGGATGGATCACGAGTGATCTAGAACCCTCTCAGTACAAGAGATATGAGGCTGATGATTAGTTAACAAGCATTTCTCAAGAGGCAACGGGGCGACAAGGAGGAGTGACGGCCTCTTAAAGTCCAGGGCCTGCCCCCAGAATCCCCAGGCAACCTCACATGCCAGAGAGACAAGGATGTCAGCACCTGCTCTCTCTCTTGCTCCAGCTCCTCGGCCTCCATGCTCTGCTCTATCTCAGACAACAGGGATGTGCTGGTGGCCGCGGAGCTCTGCAGACTCCTCTCCTCGGTGAGCTCTTCCACCTTCACCTGTAGCTGCCTGCAGGACAGCCGCACCTCCTGGAGCTCCAGCTGGCTTTGATGCAGCTTTCAAAGAGACAGCAAACAGCAGTGAGGCTTGCCAACACCAAAACAAGCAAGGAAAACTGACACAGAACCTAATCACGCTTCTAGATCCAACCACCAACTAACAAAAATACAGAGGAGGGAGGGGCATGCTAGACTATATTAGGGAGATACAGTCAACAAAATCCAGATTTGGGAAATTGGTACAAAGGACAAGCAGCTCAGTTTCTTCAACAAATACATTTCAAGGGGGAAAAAAGATAAAGGGGGAACCTATGCATTAAGAGACTTAAAGAAACATTAACCAACGGCAATGTGTAGGCTTATTTTAATTTGTACCTCGATTCAAATGAAAAATGTGAAAAATAATTTTGATATTTACAACATACTTGAAAATTTGAACACTGACTACACATTTGATATTAAGGAATTATTGCTAAGTTTTTCAGGTATAATAGTCCTGTGGTTGTATTTTTAAAGTTCTTATCATTTAGAGGTATTCAGATGAGGTATTATATACAAATGAAAGTATAAAAAAATTCTGTGATTTAATTAATTAATTTTTATGGTGACATTGCTTAACAAAATCCAGTAAGTTTCAGCTGTACATTTTAACAGTAAGGCAGATATATATTTACACTGTGTGTTCACCTCCCATAGTTAGATTTCTATATGTGGTGACAGAAAGAAATCTAACTATGGGATTTATTTTAAAATAGTACAAGAGATGAGGAGGTAGATGTAAGAAAAACGGGGCAGGACTGGTCAGAGACTGACGGTTTGCAGAGCTCAGTGAGGGGGTATACGGACCATCATTACACTATTCTTGAGTTTGTCTGAAATTCTCCATAGTAAAAATCAAACACGTACACACAGTAAGATACTATCAGATTTTCACCTGAATGGCTAAACTAACTAACTAACTAACTAACTAACTAACTAACTAACTAACTAACTAGATAATATCAAGTGCCGATGAAGATGTGGACTCTCACTGCTGCAGGGAGTGGAAGATGGACGACCACTTTGGAAGACTGTTTGGCATTTTCTAATGAGTGAAATATATGCCTCTCCTAGGACCCAGCAGTTCCACTCTTCAGGCACACAGACCCAACACAAGTGGCCACCTATGTGCACAAAAGAGAAACGGGATGTTCACAGCAGCATTATTCGTAAGAGCCACCAATGGGAAACAATCCAAATCGCAATAAAAACAGAATGGATAGATTCACACGTTGGAATACTATACTGCAGTGACGAAAGAACGTACTGTAACTATATGCCACAACATGGGTGAATTTCATAGACACAAGGTGGAGCAAAAGCCAGGCATAAGACAATATATAATGTATGATTCCATTCATAAAAAGTGCCAAAACTTCACTGAGATATAAGAGATGAAAGCTGAAATAGAGGTTTGTTTTTGAGGAAGTGGTAGCGTACTGACTGGGAGGGGGCAAGCGGGAGGCTTGTGGGGTGCTGATAACGGGCAATATGTTGATCTGGGTGGTGGTTCCATAGGTGTATATACTTGTAAAAATTCACTGGCCTATCCTTTTGAGGTCTGCATGCTTTACCTTAGGTATGTTGTATTGTAGTGAAAAAGTTAAAGTTATTTGGGAAAGAGCTGGGGATAGGATTTGGAATAACATCTGCACAGTAATATCAAGAGTTCCCAAACCCATCGGAAAAGCAGTCTCTTCCCTTCTGTGTCACACCTCACTGTTTACAGACAAAGCCCTGCACCTGGGAGGGCCCGTGCACAGCATTTTAGGCTTGGAGAGAGAGGGCGATGCCAGTGGCAGAGCGGGGACAGCAACACAGGTATCATGGTTTACCGGCCAGGGCTCCTTCTGTCTCTCTCGCTGCTGCTACTTCGCCCATCTGTATTCTCTGTGGCCCCTTTCCTGTGGAGTCCAAACAGGGCACTGCTATCTGGTGACATTACTACTGCTGAATGTAAGGGCCAACTTCACCACGACTGCTAAATGCCATACTCTTACTAGTTCACTCCATCGCTACAGTTGCTTTTAACATAAGACTCTAATTGCAGTATCTTAATCCATTTGTTAACCTCTATGACTGTCCACATATTGTACCTGCACAGGAGAAATGTTATCTACTCTTGTATTTGCAGACTGCCCCCCAAACCAAGAGATTCTTTTTGGGGGGGAATTAGGGGAAGAACTTCCTGGGATTTAACTAATCTCTTCTCTTATAAAATGGCATTTCTTGGGTGACACCTGTTTATTAAAAACAGAGCAGACACTGTACTGTCTTTTCCACACTGTTGGCCCGGTGGGCTTGTGGCTCCAGCACAGAGATGCAGACAGAGATCAAGGGGTGGCAGACAGCGATTCAGAGCCCTGTAGTTCTCATGAATGGAGGAAGCTACCTTGCAGAGCCTTCGGTCAATTCTTCAAGTGTCCTGGGAGCCTCACCTCTGCTAGTCGGTATTAGAGAACAATGGGCTAATGGCACCAGTGGTCCAGATATGCCTTAACTAGGAAGAGTTTGAAGCCTGGCTGTTCAGAGAATGAAAAAGGAACTGGCGAGCCTGCTCTGCACAGTTCCCATGGATCAGCAATACCTGCTGGTCCAGTGGGAACTCCTCCAACCCCGGTTTTGAGGAAACTCAGAAAAAAGAAATTAGGATTAAAAAAAAAAAAAAAAAAAAAAAGACATTCCTAGGAAGCATTTGGCACAGTTACAAACGGCATACTAAACTGGCAAAGTGCTTTACAATTATTTTCTAGGCAACTCCACATACATCTCAGCAGGAGAAGTTCAGCACAGGTAAGTACAACTTCTTCTGCCCTGGACAAAATTAGTTCAATTACTCATGCACACTCGAAGGTGCTTAATTAATTATAACAGCAAGAGAACAAAAGACCTCTCTGTCCTCTCTGGTCAATAACTGATCTATGGACTAGGCAGAGAAACTGAACCAAACCAGAGAAGAGCCTATTAAAATATAAGAACCCTCTAAAATAAGAATACCATCCTTTATATAAAAAAGATGATACTAAATGTATTAAATGTATGGGTAAGGAGGATATCAAATGCCTTGTGTTTGTACAGTATACCAAGTTCAAGCTCACAATACTCAAGCCCTAATGGTGGCAGAAGTGGGGGCACTCTCCCCATTCTGCTGAGGAAACTGAGACAGTGTGATGTTAAGTGATTTACCCAACAGTACCCGCTCAACGTCTGAGCGAGGTCCAGACTCCAGGTCACCTGTTTCCTGAGTCACCTCACAGTGCGACCTGTGCTCTCTGCTGATGAAATCCAACCACTCACCAGGACAAGACCCCTACACATATCTGTAAGATGCCCAGCTGGGTATGAAATAGGGCAGTTAAGCTGCCCTTAAAGGGACAAAATCCTTTACTGAGTATTAAAAGTTTAGCAAAAATTGATCAGGTCCCTAATAATTCTTATCCCTATTCTCAGCCTGAAAAAAAAAAAATCAGATTTGATCAGTGGTTTAAAAATCTGTGTTTGAAGGCAGAACTCCAATTACAGAGTGAATCAGATCAAAGGAGGGCTACTCTGACTGCAGCAGGCCTATTACCCTGCCTGCTCAGCCTGCCTCTCATCCCTTGTCTGAGGAAAAGGATTAAAATCATGAGATTATCTACATTCCAAGGCCACTAGGCTCTACATGTCTATGATTTAGAACCACTCGGCTACTACCTGAGTACCCTGGAATTTTAATTCTGTATCAGTATGGGCCATTTCAGCAACAGAAAGGGCCTTCTGGAGAACACTGGTCATTAGCAGCAGCTTAAGGAGTTTCATGTGAAGAACAAGAACTACAAATAGTTGAAAAATACAAGGATTCAGCCCATAAATGCAGATTTTCCGAATCAGAGTGGGAACTGCCTGACGTGATACAGGCTCTGGAGCGAGTGACATTCTTCCACTGCAGAAGCAGCCCAGTCAGAAGAAAGCAGTTGTGTAGATGGCGAGGACAGGAATGAGATGTGACTCGGGACTCCTGCGGCTAGAGAACACACAGTCCACTGTGCCAGCCAGTTTCTGGATGGTCCACACTGGTTCCACCTCTTCCCCATCTCCAGGTCGCCAATTCCTGATTTGAAACAGGACCTTCCATTTGTGAATTCATGACCGAATGGAAGTTTATTTTAGGTGGGGGCAATTTTTCCATTTCTTATGTCCTCCTTTTCCTTCTCCTCTCCATACTCCGCTCTCAGGAGAGGGTAATAAGTGCTGGTCAAACACGGACTCGCAGAGGCCAGTGTGATATGCTACACTGAGCACCAGGTAAAGCAGGTGGGAGGGTCCTATTCTCGATTTTACCAAGGACTTATCATGCCACTTTGGATAAATGATTCACTTTTAGTAAGCCTCAGTTTTAGAAACACACTCTGTTTCCTGTAAAGAATCACTGACATGTTCACCACTATTATCATTATCAACCTTAAAATAATGAACAAACTCTTTTCTACCTTGAAAGCTGCTGTGAGGCTTTACCAAGCATTCATTATTATCTATTCACGCTTTACTGAGGCCCTGATATATGCAAAGTTCCCCGTGGAATGTACAAAAATCATGGAGGGAGAAAAATTGATAATTTTCCCTTAAGGAGGTTCATCACTCAGGTGGCAGCTTAGCTGATGGTGTGAATAAGGTAACAATGATCTTAGCCTAAAATGTTTCTTTATCTCACAACCCAGGGCTTTCCTCAGCAGCTGACCACTGAGCCCAGGGGACCTTCCATGGCCTGGTCTTTGGGATGGTGACCCACATGATACTCAAGCATACTTGGCTGACCACCTCTACACAAATGACACTGCCGAAATCTATTCCACTCCCTGGCATGCCCAGAGGATGCTCAAGGGGAAGCAGCGCACTCTTAGCCACTAGCCCCGGGTGCTACGAGGCCAGTCGGCAAAGCTTTCTTGGCAGCAGATGCTACACTCTATTTCTGGGGAGGCTGGAAGTGATTATCTTGTTTAGGAGGTTGTTTCTTGTCAAGTGTGAGTTTGGGAATTCAGGTGCCAGTTCCCAAATAAGGACAAATATGGCCATGAAGCAATTTCCTTTAGGCGGGGTGGGGGGAAAAAGAGGCTAATTAGGCTCACAAAGGGGTCAGCCTATGCCTTTTCTAGCAACTGGCAGAAGCAGGATATGTCTTGCTGTGTTCAGTGGGCAGCTTCTTGGTTTCTGCTCAGTGCCAGCCAACTAAATCCATCAGTCTGGGAAAGGAGCCGCAGAGAGCATTGTGAGCCAAACACAGAAAGTCACAGGCTCCCTCTGAAATCCCTAGCAGGTTTCTCAAACCCCAAGAGGCAAAATGACACCCCCGGTGTTCCATGTTAACAGCCCAGAAAGAACTCTGTAAAACTGCTCTAGGGGCTAGTGGCCCAGAACAAAATGAAAGGATGACCTGTGGGTAGCAGATGCAATTTTTCTCGACAGCCAAGTGAATGAGTGCCCGAGAGCTACAACCAGGCCCGCAGGGAGACAGCACCCACTCCTGACCTTGGAAGTGGCACTGGCCTCCCAGCCTTTCCTTCCAGCTAGGCAGCTAAGCACTCCTTTTGTCTGGCCCTAGTCCTACAGGACAGCTTTTTCGCACCAGTACCTGCAGGTCTTTGTCATGGCCCTGCCTCTCCAGGATCAGCACCCGGTCCTGTAGCTCTTCCACAGTTCCTTGGAGCAGGTCATTTTCTTCTAATGTGGCACTGAGACGATGCTCCAACTCCCGTTTCCGATCCGACAGCATCTTGATCTGAAAGGGTGGAAAGCCACAGGGGTGGTGTGGAGTTACACCTGGGCTGAGTAGGAAGGGAGGGACTAGCCCCCAAACATGAAGGTCTGTGTTTCTCCAAGTGCTCTGCCCAGGGGCCCGGTGTCCCCATCTCTAAGACAGCAGCTGTGAACCACTAAAGCTGAAGAGGAAAACCCCTCCCCTCTAGAAACCTGTCTGGGAAGGGGTGGGAGTAGAGCTTTGGGGAAGCTGGAATGTGGGATGCCAGGCAGAGGAAGGGAAGGTTCATGTTCTGGAAATACCACAGATAAGACAGAGAAGGGCCCCACCTTACCTACCCATGACTTGACTTCGACCCCACAATTTATGTACCGTTCTTTCTTCTCGAGTCAGGAGCACAAAAAAGCGCCCGAGACAGCCCCTGGAC